AGAAGGAGACTTCTGAGCTGGTTCTGGAAGGCCTGAGTTGGTATTGACTAGACAGAGGAGCTGGAAAAACAGGGCAGGAAAAGATCACAAACCACACTGATGGAATGGGATCAACCACAGGGTATCTGGTGGGACCGCTGACAGACAACAAAAAGCAGGATATTATACTTCAGGCAGTTTAGACTCTGCAGATGATTGGGTGCCTCAGAAGCTCAGGACGGAACAGCATGTTCAGATCTAATTTAACTGTAGCCATAACACAGAGAATAGGATAATCAGACTCTGAGAAGCAGAAGGAGGCAGGGGAATCCTAAATGGAGCTTAAGAAACATACACAGAGATGCCAAGGACAGGGCCTATGGGAAAAGAGGTCCAGAGTTCCTTCCTCTCACACTGAGGCTGAGAGAAGCTTATGAGTCTCTGTACAACTTGTACCACCAGCCCTGGGCCTGGGGTGCTCCTCTACCCCAGTAGCTATCTCTCTCAAGAGAAACTGGAAGGAAGCTTCAGCATAGTGGTCCAAATGCTAGGGTGAGCCTCCATAACACAACAAAGGTGCAAGCTAAGGAAGCCTGTTTTATAGGAGAAGAAATGTGAGGGATATGGAGGAAAAAAAGAGAGTTGAAGCTCAATCAGTACAGTGGTTGCCTAGCAAGCATGAGGACCTGGGTTCAATACCCAGAACCCCACAAACAGGAGTCGGGTGCCTCTCTGTGATCTTAGTAATTTAGGCAGGGACGGGGGGTTGAAGAATAAGGAATTTGAGAAAGGAGATTGTGGGGAAAGGGAAAGGCCATCAGAGAAGATGAAGGGGTACCTGCATTGATAAAACAGAGTCCCAAGCATGCAAGAAACATGAATGATCAAGTCCTAAGGGCTACCATTTCATTGAGGTATTAAAAACCGAGTTAGGCTTTTAAATATTCAGTTGTGGGGATCGACATATACACTGTACAAATGAGGACACAGAAATTTAGGGAATGCTGAAGGCAAATCATTAGTGAGTGACAATAAAGCCTGACGTGTCTGACACTGATGTTCCAACTGTTCTAAGCCCATGGTCTACCATCAGCTCCAAGGGTTTGCAAGAGAACAGGAATTCTGACCGTTGCTGAAAGTGTGATGGGTTTTTGGACCACTGAGCTATTTTCCTGCAGGTAAAAGCAAAGACAGGACGATTAAGACATGAGCTTGGAGTACTCCTTGGGCAGTGTAGCAGTTAGTTCCAGGAAGAGGGAATGGTCCCAGTTTCAAAGAGAAACTGGCTCTGGCAAACAAAGCCATTCAGAAATCTGAGTCACTTGCCAATATATGAACATCATTGTGTACCCACCATGTACTAAGCACAGTACTGGGGAGGTGGGAAATGAAGACCATAAAGCTGTTACTGGACCCTATGTGTACTCTGAACTGTCTGTTCTCTAGTGGTCCTTCACCTTACAATAGCTGCCTCTGCCTCGACTGAGCATTAGCCCAGCTCGGGGGCTGAGGGGATAGGTCAAAATCACTGAGAAGATGAAATGAGGTTTGGGCATCTCTGGTCCACGGTCCTATCTGTGCTATTGAAGTGGTTAACTGACAACCAGGACATACTTTTCTCTTCTAAAGACCATCAATCATTTCCATGTGTCTTACTGGCAATACCATCTTTTTACTCTTTTAGGAGTAGTTAGTTTTATTAAACAAATCACCTGAATTCAAAGTTGACTAACCCTCTCCGTGTTGACCCCTCCAGTTCTAAGACTGGACTGAGGTATCAAGCATGCTTGGGCATACATTCTAGCACTAAGTTGCATCCCTGGTCCCTTCCTATCCCTTTTAAAAATCACTTGATTAATGTGGCAATAAACAGGTAGATGACTAATGCTGACTCCCTGAAAAGCAAGACAATTATGAAGCAATGGGATTGGTATTCACTGGAAATGCAAATGACACAACAGAAGCAGAATATGGAGTGGTAGATACCACAAGCCACATGCTGGGATTAAGAACACATCCTGGTCTTGAACAAACCACACATGAAAATCATAGCAGCTTTAACTGAAGTTTAATATTAATTAGGTGATGCTGAGATCTTAAGAGTCATCAAAAGCACTAAGGTCCAGCTGCCTGCTGAGCCATCTCACCAGTCCCTGTGATTTTCATTGCATGGTTAAACCATGTGGAGAGAAGGACTGGGAGATTCTGGAGGTGAAAGCTAATGTAATGAGTAAAGGGTCACAGGACAAGTAGACTGATCTCATTCTGCCCCTGTTCCTTGTGAAAAGCTGGGTTATTCAGGTCCAAAGCAAATGTGAGCTCACCACCATCTAAACAAAATAACTGCTTTCTATACAACAGCCAAGGCCTCATGCTCCCCAACAACCCTGCCCACTTTCTCTCATATGAGGCAAAGCATGAAGCTGCTCGGAGACCCAGGAATGAGCATTCCATATAGATGTCTATGCAAAGCCAGCTCTTTCCCAAATGTGACAATATGTAAATACAGAGTAGAGAGCACACTTAGGTACATGAGTTGTGAGACAACTGCATGAAGAGGAAAGCTGTTTGTCTTGACAAAGTGAATGTACAGCTGCATTAACATTTGCACCAACTTTGACACTGCTTCACCTAATCTACCTTCCTGTATTGTCTTTGCTCATGATCTTTCACTTAAATTTCCTTCTATACTAAGTACCTACATCACTTCCCTTAAATTTAGACACTGTGAACATTTCCTTTTCATATTTGGGTGAAATCTTCCTTTGAATAATCTACACCGTGTGTGTGTGTGTGTGTGTGTGTGTGTGTGTGTGTGTGTGTGTGTGTGAGAGAGAGAGAGAGAGAGAGAGAGAGAGAGAGAAAGAGAACGAGGGAGGGAGGGAGAGAGAGAGGGAGAGAGAGGGAGAGAGAGAAAGAATAAGAATTATCTTCTATGGTTAATTTCAAATATTGTTAATAAAATACTCCATATTATATTTAATATGACATTATTTTACAAGCATGACCAAAACAATGTGTCAATCAGAACACAAAATATTTTAAAATAGGAAAACCAATTCCCAATTCCACACAACTACTGCCCTGTGTTTAGACTTCATCTATTTTAACACAGTGGTATGAGCCTTAACTCCACAAAAATGGGTGGATGTACCTTAGAGGATTGAAGTACATCTTGAGCACCACAGGAAGCCCCATACCTTGGAGAGAAGAGTATTTCCTACAGTACACACAGCACCTTCACTTAGGAGCTGTTTCAAAGACTCTCAAGTCTGAGTCTTTTTCACACACTATCTGTTTGTGTTCTGTTTAATAATTGTCCAAGTGCAATGACTGCAGGAAATAGGGACAACACAGAAGACAATAAAGGACAACATCAAAGGAATCCACACTGCCCTCCCAGGGCACTATTTCCTCGCTGCCCTTGTGTTATACCTAACTTATCAACCCTGCATGGACTACAGGGAAATTCCATCTACAAGCCTGTCAGATGCCAGTCTTCCAAAGACACGCAAATACATACAACTTCTACATTTTCCAGTCACAAAGGTCCTCACAGTTTTATGAACATAAGGAATCATTTGGCCTATAGAGGGTTTAGTACAGTGGTTCTCAACCTGTGGGTCTCAAATCCTGTGTGTGTGTGTGTGTGTGTGTGTGTGTGTGTGTGTGTGTGGAAGGGGAAGGGTCCTTGCTCAGGGGTCACCTAAGACCATTGAAAAACACAGATAATCACATGCTGATTCACAACAGTAGCAAAGTTACAATCATGAAGTAGCAATGAAAATAACTCATGGTTGGGATCACAACAACATGAGGAACTGCAACCACATGGCTTAGAAGATACAACATGAGGCTGACAACCACTGGCTTAGAAGATACAGTGTCTGTTGTGCAAACATGAGAGTGTGAATTTGAATCCAAGTGCCTACATAAAAATCCACACATGCACACACGCATGTGCGTGTGCACACACACACACACCTAACTACAGTGCTGTGGAGAATGGGGAAAGGGGCTTCCTGGATGCCAGTCTAGCACCAGGTTTAGGGAAAGACCCCGTCTGAAAGGAGTAAGGTGAAGAGCGAGCAGGTAAGATACTCAATATTCTCTTCTGGCCTCTGTATGCACTTAGAAAAGCAAGCAACCACAGACATGAGCACATATACCACACACGGCATATTCAAATATATACACATACACAGTCACACACATATACACATAAAGGGCTAGGTGCCATATCAGTTATCTATGCCTGACATTTGTTCATCTTTACTTGGTAGTATTTATTTAGATCTATAAATTCATATAGTGGTCAAAATGTTACCTGCTTTAGGCCTCTGCATGTTTTTGTTTTTGAGCCATATATATGCATGTCTATACATGTCTTTCAGCCTTCTTCTATATGTCTAAGGAGAAAGCCTGCTTTCTTTCTCCTGTAGCAATGAAAATGACTACCTCTAAATTTCACTTAAAATGTAATTAAAGGTAAGCATGCCCCCTCAGCCCCACAGATCTATCCCCACAAGCTTAACCTAAAAAGTGTACACTACACTCATAGCCTTCGGAGCTGCTGCCTCCGCTCACGGTGAGCCTGACTCTCTACCACATTTCCATCTGTCAAGTGAAGATGCCAAAGGACATTCAGGACCACCCTTGCCTGAAGCTCAACTTCAGCTTGGGCCATGCACAGCCAACTGATTCATTATGACATCAAATAACTACAGCTGTTTTCAGGAGGTGAAATTACTTGGGATTAGAAGTTGCTCACGCTTGCCAGAAAAAGATTCAATTTCTTATCTTCCATATCTCTCAATGTAGCATGAAAACAGCACAAGCAGGCCAATGTGAAAATGATTTCCAATATAGTTTTTAGAAGAAACGTGATGAAAAAATTCACATAAAATGTTACCGTAGTCTTTCCTTTCTAAGAAAGGGATAAGGTTGAGCCAAATGGTTCCCAGAAAAAAAAAAACCTGTAAAAGATGACACCCTCAAAATGCCCTGGTCCACATGGTTACCTTGCAAGTCTGAATCACTGGACTTGGGGCTGCTTCTTGCTCTTCGCTCTGACTTTTTGATGCCAGGGCCACCTCCACTTCCACCCCCAACTCCTGCGCTGCTCCCAGCACTGTGACCTTTCCCGTAGCCATTGTACACTGTTGCGCAGTTGCTCTTGTAGATGGTGGAAGGTGGGCTGTTCAGGCGGTTCTGGCGGTCAATCTGGCGGTCCTTCAATTTCTTGTGTGGTGGCTTGCTATACTGGTCTTCTCGGGTGATGTAGCTTGACATTCCATACAGTGGGATAATTTCTAAAAATCAACGTGTGATAAATACAACCTCAGTCTACGTGTGCCACAGTGAGTGATTAAAAGGTCAAATAACCTGTCCTCTGCCAGAAGCAATGCAAAATAGTGCTATATACATTTTAAGATATACTTTAAAACAATGTTTTCAATACATTATATGTTCATAGGGTTTGTATTCCTTTCCAACTATTCAAGAAATCATCAGTTATAAAAAACAACACAGTATGTGTAGAATTTCCCATAAATTATGGAGAAAAATGAAGACAACGAGGTTATCCTCAAAGACTTCAATGGCAGGTGAATTTATAACTAAATTTGATCTTGCCTTTCTCAATGTCTTTAGTAGAGTCAATAAATAAAAGAGAACAAATAAAATATCCCTTTACATATATACATAGACTCAAAAGATTTAAAGGAATAACTAATCTTAGAGATACAACAATGTTTCCATTGAAAAGTATAGCATGATATGAAAAGAAAAATTATTTTGGGTATGAAAAAGCCAAAATTGGAGAAAATTATTAAAGAGAATAAAGTGACAAAATGTTGTCAAAAGTAACCAAAGATATAAAATGAGGGGACAAAGAAATGTGAAAAAGAAGAGTCATCTTTGCCATCTGTAGCTAAACTTAGCAGCTGCCATCTCAAGCCTCTCTCTGGGAGTGATGGGTGGTGCCTGCTTCACCTGCTTCACTGTGCACTTCTAATTAGGTGAGGAGAGACAGCAACTCACAACAGTTCTTAGGATCTTAACAGAGAGATTTTATTTTACTCATTTCATTTCTGTAAATTTAATTTCTGTGTCTGATTATGTGGCCTGCATATACGATGTGCACTGTGGGTGTGCCCATGAACCCCACAAGTGTGGGGTTCACTCACCCTGCAGCTTGCAGACAATTGGTGAGTCACCATGCAGATGCTGAGAATTGAATCTAGGACCAATGATCTCAACTGCTGAGCCAGTTCTCTGCCCCTTACTTATTTTTCTTAAAGATAATTTTTTCATGTGTGTACACATGTGTGCATGTGCCATGGAGGCCAGAAGATAATGTCTGGATGCCAACGAAGGTGCTGCATCCTCTACAAGAGCAGGAAGTGCTCCGAACCACAGGGCCTCCTCTCTGACCTCAGGAAATTTTATATGTGATTTTATAAATTCTATTTTTGGCATCAACAGAAAATGGCAATATTTAACACAGATAATGCATCCTTATCTCTTTTCAGAAATAAAAGGACTTCTCAAATATACAGTAATTGTATAAATTGTATGTCACTTGTGGGCATAAAAAGAGAAGACTAACCCTAACTTCTTGGAATGAGCAACCTAAAGCAAGACATTGCTGAGCAGGGATGCATGGGAAACTACATAATTTGATGAATATTCCAGTCTACAAAGGTAAAATCCCGCTATTTATGTTCTTTCTGTTTACACAGACTATTTACATCATTACAAGACAGCCAGTGTGAACCAGAGAATGTGAGAAAACAAATACAGCCATATCCAGAAAGAACGTGCTTACATGAACTATGCTGGCATGCGCCAGATGCTGGCAACTGTCCTAAATAGTGTAAATATTCCACTTGAGAGTTAAAATTGTCACCGCGGATGCCCATGTAAGAATGAATATTCTAAACTTTCATGGTTCCAGGAGTTACTGTTCATTTTTTTTTTTTTAAAGGTATACACATCGAGAAATCAGGAGGGGAAGCTCCACTGATGTTTCCAGAATATGGACATTTTGTTTTATTACCATCATTAATGTGAAGCTAAAGGTAACACTTTCATTATTTGTATGTTACTGTTCAGTGTTATTTTAATGAAACTATATCAGAGTACACTGTGAAATGAAGAATAGACAGTGCTGGCTTAATTCTAATGATGGTTGAAATCACAGTTTTACCTTGCCTATGATTATAAAGCCATCATTTATACAAGAGTAACTACCAGGCACCCTAGAGTACCCATGCTAAAATAAGTGCATCCCAAGACTGTGAGTCAGGGGTCAAAACTCTGCAGAATGTCAGTGAAGTCACAGTCAACCAGACATTCTGACCAACTCTCAAGTTTAATTTGGATTAATTTAATATGGATTATGACAAAGCACCAAATACCTTTTCACAAATTAATTAACTTGGTGAGGGGTACATGACTACGGTCTCAACAACTGTCAGGCACAGGCAGGAAGATTGCTATGAGTTTAAGATGACCCTGGCTCCAAATGAGACCATGTATACAAAAAGTTAACAAATTTTTTTTTCTAAATGTTTTCATACCATTATTTTTTTGCTTATGTCATTAAGAAAATAAAGATTCAATTAGTAAATGATTGATATAGGTGGTGATATTTACCTCATGATTGGCTATGACCTTCCTACTCCCTTTTATGAAAGCATGTTAAATTTCTCCTGACTACCAAATAATCAAATTTTATTCCTAAGTTACAACAGGATATGTAATTAAAATATTCATCTCAGATTTCTCTTTTGTTTATAATAAAAAGAAAGACAAATGACGATGTGAGATGAACAGTAGAGAGAAAATGGGTAAGATGAGTGATACTGCAGGAAAAGAACAGGGAAACTTGCTCAAAGACTAAGTTGTGCAAGAGAAATTCCTCTCAACCAACACAGTAAATGTTTAAAGTGGTAAAATGCTCCAACTCAAAGTGAAAGGAGCCCTTTACAAAGTCCTAGAGCCAAAGTCTATTTTTCACCTCCCTTGGCTTCTTAGCATCCATTCTGATGGTCAGAACTTCAGACAGAACCCACATCAGAACTTGAAAAGACACTCGCTTCATTTCAGTTAAGTATCTACCTAACAACTGGTGACAGTGTGGCTGAGGTAATGGCTAGTCTCAAGCTAAAAACAGCTGCAAGACACCCACACCAACAGCAAGATGATTGTTGAGTTCTGCCAAGATATATCTTTCAGAAAACCCAAAGGATATTGAGACTTGAAATGAGGCAGGAATCACCTCAATTTCCTTTTTCCTGGCAGACCATGATGATGCCAAAGAAATAATGGGGTCCAGCTCTGCCCGAGGCTACTATTATATAAACATGCATCAACGGGCAGAGGACACAGGGCAGATGGCTGCTTAACTTCCAAAATAAAGATGAACTATCCTTCTGCTTGCTCTTGGTTAGGGGGAGAAGCAAGAAAGAGCTGTGACCCACCAAGTCAAAGGATTCATTTGAGGCAGAATCTAAGGCAGGAAGCTTGGCACAGCCCATGAGTTTTTTTACCAGTCTCTTTCTACCTTGCTTATTCCATAGGAGACAAAGCGTGGAGGCCTCACAAGTTCTTGGAGTAGAGCCAGTTTCAAATAACCTTGATGCCAGCTGTAATAGACTCACCTTGCTCACTATATATTGTGGGGGGAAGATGATGCTGAGGGAAAAACTGCGGTGGCATATCTCCGGGCACGGTGACAGGTGGATAGTAGGCGGTGTGCGAGTTCTGAATGAAGTGTGGATGGTGAGTCAGATAAGGGGTTAGGTGATGGGTTGGAGACATGGCTGAGGGATAGCTTGGTGGGTAACACTCAGGAGACTGGGGTGTGACCACCACCCGGCGGACTCCAGTACTGTCTTCAATCACCTAAGAAGAAAACAAAAGGACTGTATGTAACTAGCATGCTTTTAACAAGCACACCCATGGATACCAAAATATTATTAATTACCCTGTTAATTACACAAAGGAATTAGTAACTTCCCCATTAATTGAATGATTCCAACTCTAGGAAACATTTTGCTAGTAAATCTAGGACTTATTCAAATTTGAGATTAATAATAATTGTATTGGATAAGTAAATAAAATTCATGTTTAAACTAATGTTAGGGATATATATATATATATATATATATATATATATATATATATATATATATATATCCATACACTCATGGGTCATGTAAGAATGCTTTCAGGGCTGGGCTTACAGACCAATGTGAGACCATCTACTCTATTGCTGCTTGAGTCTCCACAATCTATGGATATTAGGAAAACACAGAGACATTGATGACAAGAGTCATGGAAGTACACTAAAATACCATTTACCTGAACTAGGGCGAAGGAAAAATGAAAGGATTCTGACCAACAAATCACTTAAGCAATCGCAACTCAGGATGTTCAAATGTGTGCATGGCTGCCCTGATTTCACCAAGAACTCTGGCCATGACACCAGGCACGACAACCTAGCCCAGGCACCCTCTCATCTCTAGGAAGGCAACCAGGGAAGAATGCTGTGACAGTTGGTGCCTACCTGGCTGGTGCTGTGCTACTGTTTTAACCCTAGTCTTGATACAACACAAGCAAGGATGTACATAGTCCAGATGACAGATGCCACAATGACAAAGCAAAGCTATGAGGCACCACAGGGAGTGAAAGCATGAAATGACAGTCACAGAAAGCTAAGGGGCTCCAAAGCCTGTGGGGCTCAAACAATGGATGGAATGAACTCTAGGTTGGGGCCCTTGAGGGAGAAGACAAGAAACTCCAGGAGTTGAGGCTATAGCTCAGCCATAGAGATATGGGCCTGGCTTTGCTCAAATTAAAGAAAGCAATATATACAAGTGCATACACACTCACATTCTCTCTCTCTCTCTCTCTCTCTCTCTCTCTCTCTCTCTCTCTCTCTCTCACACACACACACACACACACACACACACACAGTTAAATTGAGAATCTGGGACCAGACTCACCAACACTTGGTTAAATCAATTATTTAAGAAAATGAGACATATACTTGGATAGGTTTTATTTTTGGATTTTTTTTTTCTTTTTAACCTTTGAAATTGAATCTGTATATTGAAATAGATTTTTAAGTTGCATCTCAGGGTTGATAACAGGACAAAATAAAATAGTTTAATTGTGACTAACAACAAAAACGTATCTTATGCTTAGTTTCATGAAAAACAAAAAACAAAAAACAAAACAAAAAAAACCTCAACAACAACAAAAAGTATTGCTAAAGCCAAACTGGAAAGCGTCTAAGTGTTTAGTCTACAGTTTAGTGTATGAAATATTTCTGACTTGAATTAACAGCCATGGGCCGGTGTTTATGTTAAGAAAACAGGAGGCTGGAGAGATGGCTAGGTAGTTAAGAGCATGTGCTGCTTTTCTGGTGGTCCCAGGTTTATTTCCCAGTGCTTCATGGTGGCTCACAGGAGTCCAGACCTCTAGGGATTACATGCTGTCTTTGGACCCTGTGGGCACCTGCACACATATGGTGCACATGAACACACACAGGTACACATATATGTACAAAAGTTAACATGACAATGTCTACTGTACCAATTAAACTCAAAATTTATTCACTGAAATTGGAGCTCTAAATAATTCTGTACTGGAGCTCAGGGCAGCCTTTGCGGTTCTTACAGTTCTGAATAAAGCTACTTCTAAGCATTCAGCTGGTATTTACAAGTCCATGTGTAGTGGTTTTTAAAGCAAGACTCAGGATGTGCAGGCATAGACCTACACTATTTCATCCTCTATCTAAAACACGGAGCACACACTTGTATGGAACATGCTTCCTACAACTGCAATACCAATGTTGTGGGTGTTTCTTACCAGTGATACAAAAATGGCTATCCCAGAGTTCTCCATCCCTCTCTACCTTTCAGTAGCTATTAGGAAAAAAGGGAAGGCATATTCCACGTGTTCCATCTTCATAAGATTCAATCCCCAAAGTTCAAAGAAGCAACGAACTTCCCAACAGCTCCACATGTCCTCCGGGGGCAGCCACGTGGACTTCCGTGATGTAGTAAAGCTTACAGAGGCCACTTTCCAGGGCAGTGATTATAATGAAAATAATTTGTTCTCAGCATTTTATAACTTCTGACTTGCTATAAGCATATTTTTTCTAAAGTCTGTCAAAAAACCTAATTGACACATAGACGTGAAAAACTTCTCACTAGTTTTACAAGAACACTTATCCTTTTAAAAATGTTCCTAAAAATGAATAAAGTATGAGGCTGGAGAGATGACTCAGAGTTTAAGAGACCTGACTGCTCTTCCAGAGGTCCTGAGTTCAATTCCCAGCAACCATATGGTGGCTCACAACCATCTGCAACGAGATCTGGTGCCCTCTTCTGGCCTGCAGGCAGAATGCTGTATACATCATAAAAAAAATCTTTAAGAAATAATAAAAATAGAATAGATTTATTCTGAAGAATCAATTATCTTTATATACATACACAGGAGGGTCCTTGTCAGAAAAATAAGTAGCCTTATGAAGCTGCAAATTGATGTGCACATAAAAACTGCCTGAAGCCCTATTCTAATTACCCTAAATTATTCTGTGGTATTTGTGAGAAATATTTACATATACATGCATAATAAGAAACTTTAAGAAACACTTTCTTATCCAAACCAGGCCTGGCTTTCATCTTCCCAAAATGAAGTATTAATTCTAAACTAAGTATAATAAAAAAAAAAAGCACATGATGAGAATTTGCCTACTGCCTACACTTTACTTATCAAATTCAATTATGAACTCTACCTAAGGAAATTATTCTCAGGTTTCCCTAAAGAATAACCAGGGCTGAAGCTTTGTCAGAATGCAACTTCAGAAACGGTGGTAATTATATCCATTGTATAATAAACATAATTCTGTGTGTGTGTGTGTGTGTTTGTATGTAAATTCTACTATAAGAAATCAAACATCTGAAAAGTTCAATTCAAAATACCCAAGGCAACAAAATGCCTTCAAACTCCATAGATAACTCTACCAGAAAAACAAATTCATTTCCTTTTGGGGTGAATGAAATTATGGCAATGTCTGGAGGCAGACAAATAACATATTCAACTCAGCAGTGGCTTGCTGACACAAACCACAGCCAACCACTGAATATTCAAAGGTGAGGGGAAACAGCCTGGGTTCTACTCAGTACTATTACAAAAGCCCAAATACAACAATTTCAGGATTCAGAACTTCGTGCATCAACACAAGTGCCACTCACATCCCCAGGGAGGCCTAGAACTCTGGGAAAGGTGGGTGTGCTCTCTCTCTCAGATGGTACCTACTGTGAGTTGCATTATGCACTCCACTCAAACCTTCTCTTAACTCCCTATGCTGAAGTGCTCATATTCATGGCCTCAGAACGTGTGTGCAGGTAGACTTTAATCCAAAGTGAGATGAGGCCCCAGGGGTGGACCTTGTGAAGCCACCTAAGGAATATACTCATTTATATGGAAGAAAGAGCGGCCTTGGAAGGCATTCTGCCTTCTTGGATGTTTAGCCTCCAGAACTGTAGAAATGCATGTTATATTCCACAGGCCACACAACTATGGTACTTTCATGGGCAACTTTAGGAAAGTAAAAGCAGCTAAAGGAGTCTTAGGGCAGGGTGGCTGAATCCAAGTTTCTTTACCTTAAGGATATAAATAAGCCTTCCCTGATATAACAAAAGTAAGTAAAACAAATATGTGACCATTTGGCTTTCATGTACACCAGCCCCCTTCCTCAGTCCACTGGAGAAAGCCAACTTGATGGCCAACAGTGCCCAGATCTGATTGTCCTATGGGAGATGTCATTCTATAAATGTGTTTCTCTTGTTGGTTAATGAATAAAGCCCTGTTGGCCTATAGGAAAGCAAGATAAGTGGGACTAGGAGACAAGGAGGATTCTGGGAGATGTAGTAGGAGAGTCAAGATGTAGGGACTTGAGAGAAGTCTGGACCCTCTCTCTGATGATAAGACCATGTGGAAACACTTAGATTAATAGAAATGGTTAATATTTAAGACAGAGCCAGCCAATAAGAAACACTAGTAACAGGCCAACAGCTTTATATATAATACAGTGTCCCTGTGTGTTATTTGGGACTGATGCACCTGTGGGACCAGGCTGGTGGTAAAGGTGCTCGTAACAAAATGGCACCTACAATGTGGGTACTAAGATCTTCCACTTAAAACTTGACAAAAGCTTAAACAGGGATTTTAGAAACAAAAAACAGAGACAAGCAAGTCTTCTTGGTAGTAGCATTTTTCTCGGGTGGGCTGTTTTGCTAAAGACAAGCGGAGACTCGCAAGGCTCCTTTAAGGGAGGTTTCCTGACTCAGCATAAGATGCAAACCCTGCTAACAACTGAATGTTGTGTACGGCAAATGGCAGTGGCAGTGACCACATCTCCAAGCCAGCAACATACTACTTGATGGCAGCGTAGACCAAGACAGTAAGTACTGAGCACAGCTATCAGTGCTGGTGGGGTAAACATACACCCCCCCCACATGCCATCTTGGATAGACAGAGGCTAAAGCAGCTGTGGCTTTCATTTTAGCAATGCTGTTGTTTCAGATAGAAGACTTGTGGCCAGAAAAAGAGAAAGATTTACAGTAAAGATAGATTAAGATAAAGAAAAGCCTCTAATTGTTTACATTGTGGTTAAAATATACTTAGGCTTGGGAGAGAAAAAGAAAGAGGATAAAATGGTTTGAGAAAAAAATAGAATGAAAGAGAGTAGCTGGGTGTGGTGGCAAATACCTTTAATTCCAGCACTCGGAGGCAAAGACAAGCAATACTCAGTGATTTCAAAGTAAACCTGGTGTACAGAGTTAATTCCAGGGCAGCCAAAGTTACACAGAGAAACCCTGTCTCAATAA